TTTAAAAAAAAAAATACTGAGAAGGCATCTGGGTGCCAGACTGTGACACCCAAGTCTCCCGCTCAAAGCTGGAAGTAATTCAGTTGGGGTTGGGGCGGGGCAGTTGAGTCAAAATGGCATGCACAGTTCGGGGATTGGAGCATATGAAGAATTTAAGGTTGATTCCAAAGTCATTCTGGCATTCAGAAGCCTAGCATGTGATGCGTCAATAGAGAAGCTAGCATGGTTAGAATAAAGATCAGAAAAATGTGGTAGACAGAAAAATACCCCTGTTCCCCATCCCTTATCACTGGAAAAAAAAAAAAAAGCCAGATTTGAATGCCCAGGAACTATGCAAAGTTAGGTTACATGGCAAAGGAGAATTAAAGTTCTAGAGGAAATGAATCAGCTGACCTGAAAATAGGGAGTGTATCCTGGGTCATCTGGGTGAATCCAGTGTGTCAGAGGGTCCTTGAAAGTGGAAGAGGGAGGCAGGGGAGAAAGTCAGAGGTAGACGAGATCACAGAAAATACAGCCATATTCAAGGCTTTGAAAATGAACAAAGGGACCTCTAGAAGCTGGAAAAACTAAGGAGATGGATCCTCTTGTAGAAGTTCTATTGAGGAACTCAGCCCTACGTACACCACAGGTTTGGCCAGGGAGATGTATTTACCTTCTGACCTGAAAAAGTATATGAAATAATAGGTCTATATGCTTGTACGCCACTTATGTTGTGGTATTTTGTTACAGCAGCAAATAAGACACTCACACAGAGGGTATCGCCTCTTGACTACATAGAAAAGAGCATGTATCAAGGAGAAGAGTGTGGACTGCTGTGCTGTGTGCTGCTGAGGGATGGTGTCAGAGGAAAAGCGCCCACAGAACTTGGCAATGTGGGAACACTGCTGCCTTGGACAGGAGCAGGGCCAGTGGGGTGGTCAGGGCAGGAGCTCATCTGCGCGAGAACAGGAGGTGACAGCGTAGTCGTGTAGACGCCTTTGTCGCAGGGGTTACCTATTTAAAGGACTAGAAAACTGGAAGCATAGCTTACAGGGGGATAGACCTACCTAGCGGTAGGTCTAGAGTACAGGAGTGTGCATGGAATTACAAGCAAAGGCAAAACTGATAACACAGGAGAGAGAAAGGCGATGTCTGCTGTGAAGTCTTGAGTAAGGGGGAGAGGATGGGAGCCAGTACATGGAGGTAGGGCTCTCCTGCGGGCCAGGGTAAGTGTGTCCACTGGAAATGTCATGGAGGTGAGCCATAACACACAGGCGCAGACACAGGTGGCTGATCTGATTGTGACAGGAAAATCACTCACCATAACTCACTCCCCCTCCCACTGCAGGGCCAATGTATCATATAAACTACACGCACAAAATGCCTAATCCACATTAGCACACTCAGTATCACTCTGGATACAGCCTTCACTCAAGCACTCAAGGCCCTCCTGGAAATGGACCTGCAGCCTGATAGCCTGTGAATTCAATGTATATACCCCACACTCCAGTCAATGAGCTGTACAGTTAAGACCCCAAAATGCCGCCATGGCTCCTGAGTGTCCCTTCGACTAGAAAGGCCCTTCTTTCTCTTCTTTTTGCCAGGGAAACTGTTATTTTAAATAAAAAGTCCCACACAAATGCCATCTTTGACATAAACTTCCTGGGATTCCTCAGTCAGATCAAAAGTAAGTTTTATTCCTACAGCAGTAAATCTGAAACAGGGGGTGATTTTGAGACTCGTCACCAGCAACTTTTTCTATTGATGAGACCTAATTTTAGTCAGTTAGAAAAAGAAACACCTTTATTCCTCTTTGTTCTTATTGCTCATATATGTAGAAGACCTCAATACTGAGAACTAGATATAAGCTCTAGCCCCTTATCTGTTCCAGGAAGAAACATAGAATTTGAAGCAGCTTTCTTCTCAAGGAAATCTGACATTTCATCACAATTCAGAGGATCGAGGCCATGAACATCTGTTCTGTGTCTCTTCACTGATAAAATACAAAATACTCAGAGCCAGTATCCAAGCGTCCTCTGCACCTGAGAGACCTATCAGTCCACCTTTAGTCTCAGCTGGCCTCCAACCTGTCTTACCCTCTTCCTCATGGAAATGTCATCACATTTACACTATCTTACTCTTTTTCTTTTTATTGAAGAAACTCTGCAACATTAGACAGGTTTCAGATGTACAGGGTCATAGTCCATCTCTACATATGCTTCAATATATTCACCATCAAAAATCTAGTTTCAATCCTTTTCCTAGCTATCATTCTATCTTGGAATACCTGGTCCAAGGTTCAAACATAGGAAGGTCTCAACAGATAATTGCTGAGCAAAGGAATTGGACACATCCTCTGTTAGAATGTTCAGCACCCTCCTGGTGACGCACCGATTAAGGAGCAGCCAGCACTTATGAAGCTAGCCACAGCAGTTTCAACACAAGTTCAGTCCCCGGCTAGGGAGGTGACCCACATGGCCTGGCAGACCTCTCCTGACCAGCCCGCTGCTCCCCTCAGCAGTGCATTTCAATTAGCCTGTTCTGTTCCCCCCTCTATCTCTGGTGAATCTTCTCACCACCCCTGCACCTCTGACCTGTACCTCAGTTCTGTATGCATAAATAAATAACACTTTGAAAATTAAAAATAAATAAATAAATAAAAGACCAAAAGCCCACAGTCTAGAATGTACCCCTTCAAAGGAGATCGACAACAAGCGAAGATGACGGCAGTAACAATGGCAAGAACGCGTCGGTGGCATTTACCCAGTTCATCTTGACAGAAGCTGTCTGGAGGGTTGATGTACTTCATGGTGCTCACATCGAGTTTCCAATTGTGCTTCGTGCATCTCACAGACCTGGATGGAAAATAGTGCTTAGGTTGGTGAAAGAGTGAGAATGAGCATGTTATTAGGTTGACATGCATTATGTTGAGATGAAATAAAAGCAGTTGGTTGAACAAACATACATGAAAGGAAAACAATTACTAGCTAATGCTTGCATTTCCATTCTACTGACAGGCCACCAGGAGGTGACTGCAAAAATAAACTCCATAAATCAAAAGGTATTTGTTAGAGACCAGCAGTCAACAGTACAGAGATGACCTCTCACAACATTCAGCTACGTGACGCCCTGTTAGGAATGTAGTAAAATACTGTCTATGATTTATAATCACTTTAAAACCCTTGGCCCTAGAATAGTTTTGAATACAAGTTCAGCTAAGGTTTTCATTATCCAAAGAGAAAAGTACTTCTGTAGACTTTGAGCTCTCAGAGCACAGTTGCCAGGAAAATACAGGCTACCCAGTTCAATGTGAATTTCAGAGATTCAGATTCAGACTTTCAGAGGTAATTTTTTTAAAGATTTATTTATTTATGCATACAAAGCTGGGGCACAGGCCAGAGGTGGTGAGAGGATTCACCAGAGACACAGTGGGGAGCAGAACAGGCCGACTGACAAAGTACACTGCTGAGGGGAGCAGCAGGTGAGTCAGGAGAGGTCTGCCACGCCCTGTGGGTCAGCTCCCTGGCTGGGGATAGAACTCACACTGGAGAGGCTGTAGCTAGCTTGCAGTGCTGTATCCTAACCTGCTACGCCACCAGGGAGGGCCTCAGAGGTAATTTTTAAACCCATGCCTCACACAGTATTTGAGATATACCAAAAACTTATCACTCAAACTTAAACTGAGTGTTCTGCATTTTTATTTAAATCTAGGAACCTATTCCAGCAACCCAGAAGAAGCAGCAGCTTGAACCAAAACAGGATGCCTGGTAATTCTTTTTGATTTGTTGTCAATTCTGATAGGGTGTGGTAGTTGAAACAGAGCATAAATAGCTCCATTTCTTCCCCCCTGGCCTCCCTTTTTAGTGTTTCTTGTGGTTTTTTTTTTTTTTTTAAACAAAGACATTTTCTTATAAATCAGTATGTCTCAATCTAGGAACATCGCATCCAACCAAAAATGTCACAAGACATTTTCATAAATTGAAACATAGAATATACTTGTTCTCTTATTACCAGGGAGCATAGAAATTCTTGTTATAATGAAGATTAGAAAAATAAGAGAATTGGTAATAAGAGAACAAGTATATTCTACGCTTCAATTTGTGAAAATGTCTTGTTGTGACATTCCCTTTTTCAACCATGAGCAGCCAACACATTAAAGGAAAACAGCCCGTCTGTAACTATTCCGCATGTTGGGTTGTTAAAGGGTGAGAGGGCCGGAAATGTTCATAGGGTGGCAAGGAGACAAGTGGGTGATTTCAGCTTCCCAAGCAAATGAGGTTGTGAGAGATTGTTAAACCTAAAAAAGGAGACCCACACAGCTGCCGATCTTGGGTGTGAAACAGAAAGTCACTGAGCTAAACTCAGTAAAGCAACTGTGGCTTCACAGTATGGCTTAACCCCCCGCATCTCCAGGGAGGGCCCCATGAGGTCTGTTAAAAACAACATTGAACATTCTGAAGAGCCCTGTAGTGGCTTCACAGTGATGTGACTTAGCCCCGAGTGCCACCAGAGAGGCCCTGAGGTGAGGGGATTCCAAGCAGAAGCAGTCAAATTTGGAGAAGTGGGGATAAGGTGGGATGGGCATAGAGACTCCGGATGCAGTGTGAGGATATGAGGCTTGGTGAGCTGCAGCGGGGAGCAAGGAGCAGGGTCCTCTGGGTGCAGGAGAGCTCGGGGAGCACTCCTTCAGGTCAGCCAGTCCACAGGGGGATTCCAAGCAGAAGCAGTCAAATTTGGAGAAGTGGGGATAAGGTGGGATGGGCATAGAGACTCCGGATGCAGTGTGAGGATATGAGGCTTGGTGAGCTGCAGCGGGGAGCAAGGAGCAGGGTCCTCTGGGTGCAGGAGAGCTCGGGGAGCACTCCTTCAGGTCAGCCAGTCCACAGGCAAAACCAGCATCTCCCATCCCACTCCCAACCCCTACTGCTTCACAAACCCCCACCACGCTCCACCTCCGAGCTTTTGGGTGAGACACAGCAAGGTCAGTCTGTGGTAAAGTATCACTATGTGAAGACGACCAAGATCCAGGAAAAATCTCTGTTCCCGTAAAGAACTCTGTTCCTATATGCTGCAAGAAGCTGGTGGCTGAGTAATAACAATAGCAAACACAATTAACCATTACTGAACGTCCATCATGTAGCCATACCAGTGTTCCTTGAAGTGTTTAAAATGACTTCATGCTCTCAGTGAACCAACAAAGTAATACTTTCATCGTTATTTTACAGAAAAAAGGACTGAGACCCAGAAAGCCTAAGAAAGGTATCCAAGGTCACAGAGCGGGACAGTGGTGGGTGAGAATTCTAAAGCAGGCAGTCAACAGCGAGGATCAGGCTCTTACCCACTAAGCTATAACATGTGCTCAAAAGGCTCAGTGAGCGCTGTGTGAAGTAGCCCATTAAAATTAAGAGCAATGCGTGGACCCTCCCTGGTGGCGCAATGGGCTGGAGCACAGCACGATGAAGCTAAAGTCACTTCTGCATGAGTTCTATCTCTGTCCTGGAGGTGACCACATGACACAGCAGACCTCTCCTGACCCATCCGCTGCTCCCCTCAGCAGTGTGCTTTGTCAGTCGGCCTGTTCTGCTTCCCACTCTGTCTCTGTGAGTCCTCTCACCACCCCTGCACCTCTGGCCTATGCCCCAGTTCTGTATGCATAAATAAGTACATCTTAAAAAAAAAAAAAGAGCAGTGAAAGCCTCGAAATGACTACAGAGCGAGCCCTGGATATCCCCAAGAGTCTGCAGAAGTTTCACAGTGACAGTACCACATGCAGTCAAAGCTTCCCTGCCTTGAGTCGACCAAGAAGAGGGAAGAATGTCAAAATGGGGCCATCAGCAAATTTCCAAGGGTAATTACCAGCGGGTTCCCTAGGACAGAGATGTCAGCTGAATGCATGTCTCGTGCAAGGCTTGGGACACACACTGAAAACAGAGTCATTTTTCTGAAATGTAAATTTAACTGGTTTTTCTCTATTTTTGACAAACCTAGTAAACTCATTTGAGGCATCAAGCAATCACAGGCAAAAATGCCTTTAATATTGAAAGGTCAAAGAATGTGCATTCTAGACCCTAAAGCCAATGTGGGTACATGTATAACAACAGGTTAGTTTTGAGTAGGTTCCTAACCATGACAGCAGGGAGCTCTTGGGTAACTATTTAGCTCCCTTGGAGTACACTGTATTAAACTGCCCACAAAGTACCTGCCAACTAACACTGACAAAACAATGAAAGAAAAACAAGATAAGGGAATGACTAAAACCACACAGGATAGGTTGACGCAAAGCTTAAGAGAAGGGATTGGTTGCATGCCTGCTGGCGCTCACAGTAAGGCTGACAAAGCATTCTCCCATTCCAGACTTTCTCTGGCTCTGCAGACAGTACTATCTCTGGGGCAGCTGTGGAAAACAAAACAAAATAACCCTGTTCCAGTGGCTGCTCCTCCCCTGGGGGTGGGAGGGTGATCTACGGGTAGGTTTAATCAAAAGCAGGGAGAGGTGATCAGCTTTTCCAAGAAATCAGAAGGCCCACAGAGCAGGGCAACTAAAACTGGGGTCCTGTTATTGTCTTTTTAACCAGGGAAATTTTCTTTTTTTTAGATTTATTTATTCAGACGAACTGGGGTACAGGCCAGAGGTGCAGGGGTGAGAGGATTCACCAGAGACAGAGGAGAGAGCAGAACAGGCAGATGAATTGAAACAGACCACTGAGGGGAGCAGTGGGATGGGTCAGGAGAGATCTGCTGCGCCATGTGGGTCAGCTCCCTGGCTAAGGATTGAACTTGTGCTGCAGTGGCTGCGGAGAGCCTCACAGTGCTGCGTTTTAACCCATTGTGCCACCAGGGAGGGCCCTGCCAGGGAAATTTTATCTGTTCTTTCCACCCACAGATAGATTTCTGGGTCAGAGAGAAAAGAAACATATAGACATGCATCTCTGAATATAAGGCAGGTAAATACACATGCGAACATTCACTCCTGCACAGAAGACTATTTGCAAACCAGGCATCAGTCTTACAGTTCTCGTGGGAGAGAAAGAAATTAAGTAGAGGTTATCAAATTTTGAGATACTTTTACTTTTGCTATGAATACCCAGGGAAGAAATTACTGGTTGGCTTATTTAAAATGTCTACAGAAGCATATTCATAAAAAAAAAAAAAAAAATCTAGGCCCTCCCTGGTGGCACAGCAGGTTCAAGCACAGCACTGAGAATCTAAAACCACTTCCGCATGAATTCGATTCCCACCTGCCCCGGAGGTGACCACAGGGTGCGGCAGACCTCTCCTGACCCGCCCGCTGCTCCCCTCAGCAGTGTACTTTGTCAATCTGCCTGTTCTGCTCCCCACTCTGTCTCTGATGAAGCCTCTCACTGCCCCTGAGCCTCTGACCTGTACCCCAGCTCTGTATGCACAAATAAATATATCTTTAAAAAAAAAATCTAATCCAATTGTAAAAAATAAAAGGGGGGGGTCCTTGGTGAAGAAGCAAATTTGGTACCTTCCATCTAAATCCTCGATATCTTTTATGAACAGCCCTCCTTGATGCTTGCATAGGTTCTTGCATGCCCTCAGCTGGTCCTTATGCTTGTATAAGATGTAGTCTTTGCCAGTGCTCTTATTTCGAAAAAAATTGATGCCTTCGTTGAGGGTGGCAACTTCAGCAAGTGACAGCTGGAGCAGAGTGTCTGCTGATTGTTCAGTTCTGTGAAAGGCAAACATTTTCAGAGGAAAGGTTAATGATGTTAGGTTCTAAGTCAGCATTACTTGCAACTAAGTCCTCTAAACCTCTTTTTACTCAAATACTTTTTAAGCCCTTCCCTCCCAGGACCTAGGCATGCGGATGCCTTTCTTTCAATGTATATGGTCTTGAACGTTCCTCTCCCTCTTCCCAGACAACTGATGCTTCCTCCCTTGCCTGCCCCAAAGTAGCCAGCAGTTGGTTCTCTCTCCTCGGGCAGGTCCACAGCTCACAGCTCGTTTCTGTTGCTCACCGGCTCCCCGGAGGAAGGAGCCAGCGCAGGGGTGTTTGTACACCAGCCGTCCCCTCCCTACCACCACTCACTAAAAGCCTTCAACTGCTTTTAGTTTTAAGAAACCACTCTGCTCTCCCCCACCGTATCTTTTAGATCTGGACTTTCCTCTGCCTGAAACACAGCTCCTCTCCCTTCACACTCAGGATTACTTGTAGGGTTCTCCGGTAACCCTGTCATCCCCCCAGCTCACCGTCTCCTGGAGTCTAACACATTTTAACAAGCACAACCACTCTGCAGAGCATTGTAACTGACCCCCAGCGCAGGGACTATTCTGAGTTTACTTACATAAGGACGCCGTTCGAAACATGCATCTTCTCTGTTTTTCTCTCCGCGGCACTTAGGAAGCAGCCCTTATCATGTGGTTTGTGCTTTCAGCTAGGAACTTAATGAGCTCACCCTCCCACTGTGCCACTGATTAATTTAAATCATTTAGGAAAATTCGCCAGCAGCTGCAAATGCAGTATTGCTTTTTGTTTTTCAGAAAGCTAGAGATGGTACCGTTCCCAAATCCAAACTTATAAACAAACTATGATGCAACTCCAAATCCTAATGGAGTATCTAGTTTTTTGCCAAGAGAGGTTTCAAATTATTTAATTGCATAGCCATGGTGTGAAATCAGGGTAGATGTTGAGTAAGTTTATATTCAAATCCAAGCCAAAAGGGTCAAAATTCCTTTCATGTATTAAGTCCAGACTGGAAAGGGATTTTTCACTTTCATTTTGGTAAATATTGCACATTTCTCGAGCAAAGAATGAAAGCCACTGAAAAAACAAACCAAGAGAATAACAGGAAAGGTTCTTCCAAGTCTAAAACTGTACACAGCAGCTCTGTATTTGAGTACGACCACTTTTTTACCTAATCTGACAGTGACAGATTCTCACTGTCACTCGTGTCTTATGTTGTTCCTGGCAATTCTGCGCACAGTTAACTTGAAGCATTTCCAAATAAATATATTCCTCTTTGTTTCACAGTTATATATGCTGTTCTGAGTCTTTGGGGTTGTTTTTAAAATTTTAATTTAAACAGTTCTAAATATATTGAATTTTCACTATAATTTCTTTTCCCAAGAGAAACATTGTTTAAATGCATTTAACTAACACATGAATTCTAGAGCAAGTGTCCATTATAAGGTTTACAAATAAAAGCAACATGTAGAGAAAATATTATGCCATAAAACCAATTTCATTGACATTCCTGTTATTTTTTAAAGGGTGATAATCCCTCCCTACTTACTCTGTTTTGTTGACAATGTCTCATAGGAGTGCTCGAGTTTATGAAAATGTTTTTTTGTGTGAGTGAGGAACAGTCTAATATTTTATTTCCGTACCAGAGTACTTTTTCTCTAACACCTGTTGATTCTCTTGTAGTAAATAATTTAAGAACATATCATTTGATGTGAGCTACTTTACATTTCAAAAAATAAGCTACCAAAACTATATTTTAAATATATTTGATGGGAAGTTCTCCATCTGAAGCCTTATAAAATTCTTTCAGCTTTGTTGCTATTAGTACAAATACCTGACACCAAGCCAAAGCAAACAGAGTCAATTCCTGGAATAACTGGCCTGAAAACATAAAAAAAAAAAAAAGGCTCTCTATTTTATTTTACTTGATTGAGAGAACCAAAATTCAATCTTAACTACAGCTGTGTATTTAATTCTGTAGGTCTCCCATGTACCATGTAAAACAGGTTGAACACTCCATCTTTGATTACCAATTCTGTGAAAAGTCCTATTGACACCGAGGGCAAAAGAAAAATGTGGCCTCTCTAATTACAGGCACTTAGATATTTTTTAAATGATAGTATATCCCCCCAAGGCAGATTTTAAAGATATTATTTATGAATTTGATTCCATTATAATTCCATTACAACATACTATTTTTTTTTTAAAGATTTAGTTATGGATACAAGAATTGGGATACCGATGTGGGGGGCTAGGGGTGAGAGGATTCACCAGAGACAGAGTAGGGAGCAGAAAAGGCAGATGGACTGAAACACACTGCTGAAGGGAACAGTGGGGAGACAGGAGAGTTCCGCTTTGCCATAAGGATCACTTCCCTGGCTGGAGACTGAACTCATGCTACAGTGGCGGTGGACAGCTTCACAGAGCTGTGCTTTAACCCCTTGAAACACCAGGAAGGCCCTTAAATAACACAACAGTTTTAAATAAAAATTAAGGTTAAAGCTCCATAACTGAACTAAAGTGATATGGTTTAATATACCTGCTTTTCAATGTTTCAATATTTTCTCAACTACTTTAATGTACTTTAAAAATAACCATTAAGTGGAGCTTCCATAGGACCCAGCAATCCCACTCCTAGGTATCTAGCCCAAAGACACAAAAGCACTGATTCAAAAAGACACCTGCACCCCCATGTTTATTGCTGCTTTATTTACAATAGGAAAGACATGGAATCAACCCAAATGCCCAAAAGTAGATGACTGGATTAAAAAGATGTGGTATATATACACAATGGAATATTACTCAGCAATCAGAAAAAGATAAACTCATGTCTTTTGCAGCAACATGAGTGGAGCTGGAAGGGATCATGCTTAGTGAAATAAGCCAGAAAGAAAAAGAAAAATAACAGATGTTTTCACTCATAGCAGGAGCATAAAAGACTGGGGCGGTGGAGGGTGAGGGTGGAGGGGGGTTGGGAATAATGAACTACTACCAGAGACATTGTATGGGGCTGGAGTGGGAAATGGGGTCAAAAATGGTATGGTGAGGGGAGGGGAAAGTCCACTGGACTATGGAGTGATTTGGTGATGGGAAGCCCACAAGGATTACAACTGATATGGAAAGAGGCACAACGTGTTGTAAAAATAAACTATTACGTTATTTTAAAAATAGCC